TGATTAAAAAAATCAACAAACGTTATTTTTAATATTCAACTCTTTTTAATAAAAGCAACACTTGGGGTTAAAATGATTTTATTTAAAAAACCAGAGCCAACGTTTCGCCCAGGTTATTGGGCTTTTTTAAGGCTAGTTTTATTTAGTTAAAATAGTAATACTGATGGAATTTGGTTAAGATGTACATGCTTCTAAAGATTTTTTGTATAGTTGTTATGTTAGTTATGTGGGTTTTTGTTTTATTTTAAATATTTTTCTTTTTGTTGTTATAATAGCTACATTTATTCTAATCATACGATAGCGAGTTTCTGTAGTTTGCCCGCTCCTGATTCACTCATTCGAACTGTTTTCGCAAGTCCCAGATTATAGGGAATTTACCAGCGCGAACGAAAGGCGAATACCGCGTGGGGGAGAAGTAGTCACAGATGGTTGCCTATCGAAGTCAGACGAAAAAGACGAAGACGCATAAAAGACGGAAGTCTTGAGAAAAGGTTAAAAAGACGTAAAAGACGGTGAAATCAATCAAGTGTATATTGATGTGCTGTTTGTGACCATTAAAAAAAAATGCATCAGGATAACTGTGCGATACCGAAAAACCTTTATTGTACACACCATTATATTTCTTATCATTAATATTTTATTCATTAAACACATTCTAAAATAGCGGAACTGGATTCGTTTTTATTAACCCTAGTTTTCTTTTAGAGTTTTATCTATTTAAAAATATTTAATAATGTTTGTTAATGGTTGTTGATCTCTCAGCATGTACATCAACCAAATTCCATCAGTATTACAGTTTTAACTAAATAAAATTAGCCTTAAAAAAAGAGCCAACAACCTGGGCGAAACGTTGGTTGTATTTTTTTGCTTTGATTAAAAAGAACTGAATACAAAATAGGGAAGAAGGTTAGTTAAATAGTTATTTTTGATATTTCAGATGCTACTATGTGTAAACCCAATTCACAATTCCGAATAGATTGTGATATTTGTCAATGCAGTTCAGACGGAACCGAATACAGTTGTTCAAATAGAAATTGTGTATGTATTTCGTGGTTTGTCTTCTTATTTTTATTGAAAATATAACATTTTTAAGTAGAACATCAGCTTTTAGGTCTTTAGGAGGAAGGAGTAGATTATGTAAATGTAAAATATTATAAAAATATGAAATGAGCTAGATACTAATTAGGTATTAGATATTAGGTACGCGACAAAAATTCAAGTGATGATTCCTGAGGTATTTATATGAAAAAAAGGCTGTAAGAGGTTTGTTTAAATAGTTTCGATATTTTTGATATTGTTCAGCTCCTCCTTCGATGCCGTCTTTATCTCCACAATCGTAGCGTAGCGTGGTCCTATCATGGGCCTCTTTAGTTTGCGGAACAAGAAAAAGTCACAGGAGTTAAATCAGGGAAATACGGTGGCTGCTGCGGCATCATTAGCGTGTTGCTTTTGGCCAAAAATTCACGCACAAGCAACGATGTGTGAGCAGGGGCGTTATCATAGTGCAAAAATAGGTTTCGTTCTTCCACAAATACGGGCGTTTGTGGCGAATTGCTTCGCGCAAATTGCGCATAACTTGCAGGCAATATTCCTTATTGACCTTTCTACCGCGTGGCAAGAACTCATGATGCACCACGCCCCTGCAATCGAAGAAAACTGTAAACAAAGTTACACCACTTTTCCCGTATGATTGTGAGCTAGGGGATCGATGCGTCAGTTTCTAAATCAGTTTTACAACCTTACACGATTGTTAAGTTTGGACAAGAAACAGTTTTTTGGGTATTATCCTTCTGATCTATACAAATTGTAGAAAAAATCTTACGTACAAGTACAAGTGTAAGTAGTGAAATATTTCACATGTTGAATTGTTTGTGTAGATCTAATAATACTTATCTATAGTTATAAATATGAATCTTTTTAATTTCTATAAGACATAAAAACAATTTTGGCTCCAAATTTGCCGCTCCTAAAATCTGCCGCCCTGGGCTTCAGCCTGTTGGGCTTGCTGGCAAATCCGCCACTGTTGAAGGATTTTAACGTAAAAAAAATATTCTCTTACACTAATTCTTTTCAAGAAATTTACAAATTTTTGCATCGAATCAGGCTAGTGTACTCTTAGAACGCTAGAAGTGTAATAGTTAAGAAATTTACAAAAACTCAAACATGTAATGGATCTTGGATACCTCAAAAATCATCCCTTGAATTTTTGCCATATATTATTTAGTAAAAGAAAACTTTATGGAAAAAGGAAAACATACGGAAATGTCACATAAAATTATTGGTCAAGTAGAATAAATGTTTTCCATTTGCTTGTTCATAGGACGATGATGACACTTCGGACGTTGATGTTTTCAATTTTAAAGGTCGTTTGAGAAATCCTAGGATACCGATACCGTACTTCAGAGAAAATGACATTCGCAATTCTGCAGAATCAGTTGACGATATTGATCTTAGATACGACGACGATGATGATCATAGTTTAAATATTAATGACGACGTACCACCTAAAGATGACGATTTTCTAATAAACGACGAAGAAATACGATGAATACGATCACCATTTCACAGTAAATCTGCTGTTGAAGGAAGCAGTTTTCTTAAAAATGTTTTGCAGGAATGTTTATCAGTCTTTTGTTTTATGATTAGTTTTCTGAAAATAACATACCTAACGATGGATAAACTATTTTATATTTTTCTACTAGTATCAACAATCGTGCGTATATGAACAAATATTTTAGCTATTAATACAAAATAATATAAAAGAAACACAATATTACAGTTTATTATTGTATGTTTGTTGAATAAAATGTTTTAAACCAAGACCAATATTGTTTTTATACTAACAAGACCAAGCCCAAGACAGAATTAACGAGACCAACATTAAAACTAAGACCGAATATGCAAGACCAAAATCAAACACGTAAGACTAAATGAAAAATGATTACTTCCGGTGGATTTATGAAGTAAACTATATGGAGCAAGTTTAATATACATATTCTTTTCTTGGAATAAAACAATTTTTGTATTTGAAATTTACAGTTTACTTTACTAAATTTTAACACTGAATATATAAAAAATAAACTTTAACACTGTTTTGCTGTACTACGTAAACCAGCTGCTAAAACATTTGCTGCAACTGTTGACCTTTGGTCAATTGGTGTGACTTTATATCATGTTGCCACTGGTAATTTACCATTTCGACCTTATGGTGGTCGACGTAATAAAGAAATTATGTATCATATAACCACAAAAAAGGCCAGTGGTGTGATATCTGGAATACAAACCAAAGATGGGGGAGCAATTGAATGGAGAAGGGACTTGCCAGCAACTTGCCAGTTAAGCACAGGATTGAAAAAGTATGTAACTCCATTATTAGCAGGACTGTTAGAAGCAGACCCTCAAAAAGTGTGGAGTTTTGAAAAATTTTTCAATGAAGTAACCAACTTATTGTCTAGAAAAGTAGTTTATGTTTTTCATATTAATTCAGTTAGCATAATAAAAATTTTAATACATCCTGATGAAATTTAGACTTTAAACGATTTTGCTTTTCCATTTACTTCGATTCTTTTAATGTCTTTTCTTAAGTATATTCTAACATTATTGTAAAAATCTGATTTTCAACTTCGCAATCAAACGTTGGTTTTTGATGCTGAAATCAGTGGCAGATTTAAGTTCGATTGCACTCTAGGCCCCCTTTGAAATAACGTCTTTTAAGAATCCAAATGAATATCAAAAATTATAGTTTCTTGTGGCATAGGATTAAAATTGTCGATTCAATATTCACAGAAAATTAACAATGAAACTTAATTGCCTATACATCCCTACAGTATATTATTTCAAATCAGTTTCATAGACTTTTGTAACAATAAAAAATTAATGGGGAAAGAATCTAGACACCTCCACCCCTTAAGTGTCTAGATTGTTTGATTAGTTTTTATTTAGTTCTTTTTAAGTGTTTCTGGAACAACTATTACTTACATTCGTAATTATATTTCACAAATAGTAGAATTATGCTTTCTTCTTTCAAGCATTCAGATGTCACGCTCAGAAATGTAGACCACCTTAACTTCTTTCCAGCATTATTTTTCATATTGCGTTTCAGTGAGGGTGAGACAGAAGAAGGAATAACTTAACGAAATGTGGAGGCAATTATTTATGTTAGTAATAGTTCATATCTTCCTCAAAAATTGTTTCTGGGTCTGTCGCTTGGTCTAGAGTTTAAAGGTTTAGAGCATTGCTTAGCATTCAGGAGGTAACCGGTTCGATTCCGGTTTCGTCTGACATAGTCGTTGGATCAATTAGACAGATGCTGGGACAGTAATATTCCCCGGATAATCAATATTTCACACTTTTCTGTCTTCATTTCGTCGGCCTTATCTTTCTCACACCAACCACCACCCAGTTATAACCACCATTTCTAAAAGGAGGCTGAAGAGGGTCTTCCGTCCAACCCTCTGCCGTAGTCTGCAGGGACTACCCGCTTTCCAGCATTAGTAGCTGATAGAAACGGAAATACTCAAAAGTTTTTTAGTTTTTTCGACGAGTGAGTCAAAATAGCACTTTCCGATACCCATGTCATATAAATAACTGTTTAATTAGAATATTTTCCTAATATAACGATTTTATTTTCAGAAAATAATTCTCGAAATGAACCGTCTAGGTATGATGGTAGATTTGTCTCACGTTTCGTACGGTGTGATGTTAGAAGCCCTCGATGTTTCTGGAGCACCCGTTATTTTTTCCCATTCTGCGGCATATTCGGTTTATCCGCTTTATCGAAACGTACAAGAGGATATACTTCAAAAATTGGAAAATCGTGTGCAATTTTAAATAAATTTAAAAAAAATCTTTTTTATTTTAGAAAAGCAATGGTGGTATAGTTGTTCGGTCCTTGTTAATTGTATATAATCATTGTGTATAGTCATTGTATATATTTTTGTAATATTTAGAAGACGTGCTGTAAGTTAAGTTTTATATTTATATTAGTTTACGATAGTTGTTAGTTTGTACAAATTTTTATTATCATTTTGAAAAGATTTATTCATAGGCACGCCTGGGAATCTCTTTGAACTGGACATCAACAAACAGGGATGGTTCGCAAATGTACAATTACCTACTTTCACAAACTTTTGCAATCACCCGCTTCTACC